GGGTAAAAGTGTGGGGCATGAGATACAGGTTAAATGCTCCTGAACAGAAAAAATATCCACACCTGCAGCAAAGCTCTTTCAGTCAAACAATTCATTTATTTTTCATTCCTGTTTAACTTTCTAAAATAATGGTGAATCTGTACAGGTGCCAAAAGTCACTTCTAATTATTCCACAGCCGCAGGTTTCTGCCATTACAGGTGAGTAGGAGTGGGACTAGCTGAGGGTGAGGAAAGGGAGTGGCCCGAGCCCCATGCTCTGCGGCCCCGTGAGCAGCTATGACACAGCACAGGACATAGATCTGGAAGGCAGCCCAGGAGACACGAGAGCAAGCCCACGCCAACGCTGCAGGAGACTGGGACCCTACGGAAGAAGGCGCGCCTTTGGGGAATGTTACATAATCCACCTGTAACCCACGCAGCCTGGGGCAGCCCGAGGCAGAACCAGGTGAGCAAGGCCAGGCTCCTCCCCGACCCTTCTGTCCGCCTTCTACCGACAAAACAAAGCAAGATGTCCTCCTCTCTCCTATTCCACTTGCAACCCCCAGGCAGGAGGTTCTAGGACTTCTTTCCACCCCCCTAACTCTGCCTGCCCTCTCTCTCACTCTGCCTGCTGGCGGTCAAGGTGATGGCGTGACGTCACTTGAGTAAGCATGTTGGGGGCAGGGCTGGTTCAGAACAACTGTGGCAGGAAAGACAGGCTTAGGGAAGATGTCTTTTGGCTCTCTTTCAGGTCAACGGGCAACTTTAGGTAATCTGGAATAACCTATAGACAATGTCACCCACCCCCTTCAGCCCCCAAACTCATCCACACACAGTATTACACAGCTTTATGGGTTTCAGTACCCTCTAAATGCCACCCATGGACTCTGAAAAGTTACGAATCCCTGCTTTAGGGCCAGCCTTGTGGCCTAGTGGTTATGGGAACCGGATTCCACATGGCCAAATGCGTGGTTAGAGTTCCAGCTTCAGAAACTTGAAAAACATGCCGGCTGTGTGACCAAAATCCCAACAGGATAGAGAAGTGGAGTTAATGGGGTTACCACACTCCACTGGGAGGTCGCTGTCCCCTGCCCAAGAGCATATGTCCTCTAGCAAATGAAAGAGAGAGAGATGAAGAGAATCCTTGCTGTAAAAGTTCCTGTAGGAAGTTAGCATTGAAGGGGTGCAGCCACCCCAGTGTATGTGGCTTTGGCACAGTGATTAGTTTGAACTAAAGACCCTTGAAAAACTAGGCACAAGAAGGGCACCTGGACCTTCCTGCTTCATCTCGAAAGCGGGAGAAGAAACGCCCATGGAAGATGACGCCTCCCTCTACCATGAGAAAGAAACATTTTTATCACCAGAGCTGGGAGTCAAGGAGAAAGCTGCACAAATGGTAAACTAACCCTGCCTTCCTGCTATGTCCCCTCAACTGCCACTGCTGCTCGACCTAACGCGTCAGCATGAAGGCCGGTCACTTCTTCGGGTTTTCGTTTTTCTTGTAAGAGTTCCCACAAGCACAGAAGTAAAATTCATATGCATTTCCCCTGTGAATCTGTCTTCTGGCAGTTTAATTCTTAAGCCTCGTAGAGGTCCTGAGAAGGCAGAGGCAAAACTGTGCCTTCCTGACGGTACCGACTGTTTAATAAAAAGTGACCAGCACTGCAGGGCTGAAACTGAGCAAAAGGAAATTTAATCAACAGATGAGTAACAGCGTACAACCAAGCCAGTGGGCGCTGTTTACCTTTTGGGCCACGAGGAGCCAGGAGCTGTCTTTTTTTTTGAGAGAGATTTTTGCTATAGAGCATATGTGTTCACCAGAGACAGACAGAAAGCGAGAAATCACCCGCCAGGGGGATGGCCACACTGTAACCCCTTCTCCTCCATTACCCCCTAGGGATTTGGGACATACAGGCACAAGTACCCAATGTGAGTTTCAAGCAGGTGAGTTTGGGGTTCAAACTGCGGTCCAGTGCCTTAACCACTATGCCACCTGCTGGCCCCAGGGTTTTTTTTTTTTTTTTTTTTTTGTTTTGTGTGTGTGCTCGCCAGAAAGACAGAGACAGAAAGCGAGAAATCACTCCCCAGGGGGCATGGCCATGGCACAATCCCTTTTCCTCCATTCTCCTCTCGGAATCTTAGGCACACACGCACATGCGCCCGGCGTGAGTTTAAGCCACCGGGTCCGGGACTCGAACTGTGGTCAACTACATGGGAGTCCAGCAACATAGCCATTACGCTAACTGCTGGTCCCCAGGATATGTTTTTTTGACAGTGCTGCGCCGGTGCACAGACTGGTATCTGCCTCTGCAGAGGTAGCTGACAAAATCTCAGGTCAGAACATAAAGGGATACAGTTCTCTTTTTTGTTTTTAGTCTGCTATAGGTGCATATGCCTGCCAGAGACACAGAGAGAGATAGAGAAAGAGAGATAAAACAGCTCCCCCTTCTCAAGGGGTTGGCCATGCCTCAACCTCTTCTCCTTCGTTCTCCCCTAGGGATTCTGGGCACACACACACACACACACACACACACACAAACACACATGCACACACACACACACACACACGCCCCATGTGATTCTCAAGCCACCATGTCCAGGACTTGAACCATGCAGCCAGCCACGTGGGACCCAGCTGCCTTAACTCCGCACCACTGGCTGGCCCCTGTCCTTTCTGAAGATATGAAGATGATATGGTCTTTTGAGGATGCTCACTGAAAGCTATCTGGGATCAGAATAGTATAGGCTGGGAGAACAGTGGCTAAGGAAAGGACTAGAGGCCCACAGTAACTGTTAGGATGAAGGCCCCGATTCCCCAGTCTCCTGGCTTCACTGCGTCCCCCTGGCCTGACACGGAGCAGGTAGGAGAGGGCCTAGCTTCTGTTCTCCACCCAGGCTCCTCTGCAGCCTTCCTTTGCACATTCGAACATGAGTTTGCCACAGACACTACCTTGGGTATCTTTCTCTTCTTCCTGCCGTTCTGTGGGTCTCCAAGGTTAAAGAAAGTGTCATCAGGGCTGCTGGGAGTGGAGGGGGGGCTGGTTTTGGAAGGGGACCCAGTTCCATCCCGACTTGGCTTCCTGGTATCCAGCAGTTTGAAGTTCCTCCTCTCTGAATTTTGCCGGAAAAAAGCAGGTTTAGATAATGATTGCTGTGAGAGAAAAAAGAGGAAAGAAAAATAAATAAATACGAGGGCACTCACTGGGGGGTCGCCGATGGGCCTTGGGACGGCAACCATGAAACTGAGAAGGGGAAAGCGTCCATGTTCCGGGGTACTCGGGGTCTGCTGAGCTCCTAAGCGCTAACACTTATCCCGGTACGGAAAGCTGGTGTGATATGGATGGACGTCTCTTGTAGTCTCCTTTATTGAACAGGTGAGAAGCCACCCGGCTCAGTCCCCGGACTTTACAGATGAGGCTTTCTGGTAACCCAAGACACATACACTGGGGTTCTAAGCCCTGCTGCTGGCCTCCCACACAAAGAACTTAGCATCTCTGGGTGTCAGTATTTTCTCTCTAAAATAAGCCCCCCTTGTCTCTGTCTCCTTCTCATTTTGCTATAGGGTGCATGTACTCACTAAAGAGAGAGAGAGACAGACAGAGAGAGGGACCAGCAGTTGGCATAATGGCTATGTCACTGGACTCCCATGTAGTCGACTGCGGTTCGCGTCCCGGACCTGGTGGCTTAAACTCATGCCTGGTGTGTGCGCATGCGTGCCCAAGATCCCGAGAGGAGAATGGAGAAGGGATTGAGGCATGGCCATGTCCCCTGAGGGAAGATTTCTTGCTTTCTGTCTCTGTCTTTCTGGTGAGCACATGTGCCCTATAACAAAAACCTCTCCAAAAAATATAAAAAATAAAAGAGAGAGAGAGAGAGAGGGAGGGAAAATGAGAACTCACTCCCCAGGGGGATGGCCCCACCACAATCCCTTTTCCTCTGTTCTCTTCTTGAGATTTTGGGCATGCACACACCTGTGCCCACCATGTTTTTCAAGTTGGCTGGGTATGGAACTAGAACTGTGCAGTCAGCCATGTGAGATCCACTGCCCTAACCTCCAGGTCATCTGCTGGTCCAACCTGCTGCTGGGGTGAGGATTCGAACAGTGGTCAGCCATGTGGGCTCCAGCTTCGTTAACCACTAGACTATGGGGCTGGCTCAAGATTCTAGCTTTTGGTCAGTGCACCTCACACTGACATGCACAGTGCCCTGACAGTGTTCCAGTCCTACTGTGTGTGCGCACAGAGTAGCCTCAGTGGCCTAGCTCCGTTGCAGAGGTGTATACGGTCTCCCTAATCTTACAGATGTGAGACTCACTGTGGTGTCCAAAAGGGAAAGCAGACGAGGCCCGTTGTCTGAGGTCTGAATTCCCTGTGGAAGCCTCCTGACTTGCTCCATTACCTGGAGTGTGATGGGCCCTGGCCAGGAGACATCTTGCTGGGGACGAGGGGGTGGCAAGGAAGCTGGGTGCCTCCCAGGAAAGAACAGATCTGGACTCCAGAATCAGCCTTTTTTGTCTGCGATAGTGGCTGAGGGCTCAACTCCTTCCTGTCCACCACTGTCCCCACCTTTGCTGCCTCAGGAGACGCTGACTGCAAACGACTACCGGGGCCCTTGAAGTAAAATGTCCCAGCTCGACTTCATTTCTATTCTCTTACAGAGACTGCCTTTGTGTCATCCACCCAAACACACACTCTGCTCACCTATGCCCCTAACAAGTATCTGCATGAGTGCATAGACACTCCCTTACAGACGCGATCACAGAAACACACAGGAGGGCCGCGGGGACAGCCCGACGGTGGATGAGTGACGCTACATTACGGTGCTGGTTACTACACAGGCAATGCAAACGGCCTTGGAAAGACGATGATGTGGCGAAATACTCATGATACATATATAAAAGTGGCAAAGCTATATACAGTGTGACCCCCAATTGTTTTAAATGTACACACACATACACACAGAGTGACAGAAAAGTTTGGCAGAAATAAAGTGTCAATAGTGGTTATCTCTGGGTATTGGGATTAATTACATGCAATTAAAAAAAAGTTTAAAATACACACACACACACAATTTATACATAATACCACTCTATTACAGAAAGAAAAAACCGGTGAGCATAAAGAAAAAATAAAATCCCCTGGTTATGGGTGAGTTTTATTTCCTTCCTTACACTTTTCAGTAATAAAACACGTTGCTTTTAGAGAATGTTCTGTTTGCAGGTTATTTTTATTAACTAATAAAAAGAACACATATTGAAAGGCATAGTTCTATCTATTGCAAGATTCTCTGGTTGCCCTAGAGCCCACCCACATGGTCTCACATTACAAACCATGTATTACCTAGCTTGGCCACAGAGGCATGGGTGTGAGTGTGCAGGTTCTAGGGCCCTGCTGGCTCCGTTCAGAACGTGCCCGTGACACACGTGGCTGTGACTTGGGGCAAATGACGTCATAGACATGCACGGTCTCTGTGCTGGTAGGTGGGACTAACGGCAGTAGGCCCTTATTACGGGGTCATAAGGAGACAAATCACGTCAGTACTTGGAGACGACTGAGGCTGGTATCTGCAGCGTAGTAGAGACTACTTATGTGTGTTTACTAAATATTAGGTCACTGAAAAAGTCAGGACGCATTTGTGCATAGGAAAACATAGAAAAATGCATCAGTAACCTAATGAAACAGTAAAACAGGGTGAAAATGCAGTTTGGTCTTCCAATTTCAACTTGTAAAATCTCTGAAACTCAACCCAACCACTTAAATTTTTAAGAAAATGAAGCCAGTCAATGACATAGCAGTAACATAGATGTGAATGACTCTAGCACTTCAAGAATGAATTAGCGCCATCTGTTGCGAAAATGCATCGTCACTCTTCTGACAACCCAATAGTTGGCGACACATTGCCTTGTGTCAGTGCTTGAGAAGAGCACCTCATACTGGCCGCCATGCCTTCCTGCCATATTCCCTGTGCCGTGCTGGGAACAGGAACGGCGGGGGGCCTGCAGAAGCACACGTCCCCTCCCCAGGAGCTCCATTCCACATCCTGCCCCCATGCACATCTGCTCCTTTCTGAGCAGAGCGTCCATCCCCTCTCCCCTGGGGCTAAGCATGCTCTAATGAGATGAATACCCTGAAGATGGCTTAGGTCCTGTAGAGGAGGCGACACAGAGGGACTGCTTCAGCAAGTTCTCAGGTCCCAGATGCAGCCCAGATGTGGCAATGCTCAGTGACTAGCTGATGAGCTACATGGAGGAATGGAGAGGTCTACAGCTGTTTCCCAGACAGGGTGCAAACCGGACACTCATGCCACAGGCTGATGAGTGTGGACAGGGATCCTGGCGACGACTTGCAAAGGCCCCCAGTATCAGCACTGGGCCACAGGACAGCCGTACCTGGACTTTGGGGACACGTTGACATTAACGCCCACTGGGCTTGACTATTTTATGGCAGAGGCCCTAGGTTTCCCAGTGTGGCCAGAACAGGAAGAAAAGGGCTGTTCGTGGGCCCAGCAGATGGCGTAGTGGTTACATTGCTGGTTTCTCACAGGGCAGACTACGTTTAGTCCCAGACCCAGTGGCTTGAAAATCACGCTGGGTAGGTGTGCATGCGTGCCCAAGATCCCGGGAGGAGAATGGAGAAGGGATTACAGCGTGGCCATCCCTGCGGTGGCTATTTCTCACTTTCCCTCTCACTGTCTATCTCTCTGGTGAGCACATAGGCCCTATGGCAAAAATCTCTTTAAAAAAAACTGAAAACGAACAAGGAAAGAGCAGGGCTGTTCAGCCTTTTTTTTCTGGTACTAGGGAGAAGCAGCTGCTCTGAACATGGAGGTGCCTTGGCCTGCGTTTCTCATGGTTCCCAAGAGGCAATGGATACGGATGCGTTCTCTCTAGACCTCAGTGGGGAGCCAGGCAGGGCAGGAAGGGGCAACCAGTGTGACGGCTTGCCTGCTCCTAAGTCAGGCTTATTCAGTCCAGGAAAAGAAGGCTGGCCTCAGTGCTGAAGACAGCCACATCCCAGTGAAAGACACAAACAACACATTTTCAAGGCAATTAGAAACTGCCTGCTAATTATCGGTTGTCATGGATTATTCATAATGACACTCTTTTCCATATGAGGATAGAAATGATACTTAATTGGATAATTGGGCCTGCTCTGTTTTTCTACAGGCCATAAGTTAAGAATAGTTTTCACATTCTTAAATCATTAAAAAAAGACAAATTTCATCACAAGTGAAAATTATATGAAATTCAAGTCTTGGCTTCCCTAGTAGAGAGTCACTGAAACACAGCCACATTCCTCTGCTCACAGATCGCCCGTGGCTGCACACCCTCAGCGACAGTGCTGAGGAGGCTCAACAGAGGCCACACGGCCAGAAGGCCCAAGATGTTTGCTCTCTGGGCCTTTCGAGAAGCCTGCCAGTGCCAGGCCTACTACATCAGGGGCAGTTACTAGGCTCTGCTGGAAGGGAGCATGTGTACGTAGGGACCGTGGGACACTGGGTCGTAATGGGTGCCCAGGGATCAATTACGAAGGATTTCTTCTTTTATAGGTTTCTGCCATAGGACGTGTGTGCTCGCCAGAAAGAGACAGAGACAGAGAAAGGGAAAGTGAGAAATCATCTCCTGGGGGAGGATGGCCACACCGCAATCCATCTGCTGCAGTCTCTTCTCAGGATTTTGGGCATGCACACACATGCGCCTGGCGGGATCTTCAAGTCACTAGGTCCAAGACTGAAACTACGGTTGGCCATGTGGGAATCTAGCATCTTAACCACTGTGCCACCTGCTGGCCCCAATGACGAAGGCTATTTAATGTCAGGCTGAAGGACACGAACTCGGTCCTGTAGGCAATGGGTTGAAATTATTGTCAAGTATCTATCTATGTTTGTTTGTTTTTTGGAGAGGTTTTTGCTCTAGGGCGCATGCACTCACCAGAAATACAGAAAGAGACAGAGAGACAGAAAGTGAGAAATCAACCCCCAGGGGGTATGGCTACACCGCAAACCCTTCTCCATTCTCCTCTCGGGATCTTGGGCACGCACGCACACACGCCCAGTGTGAGTTTAAGTCACCGGGTCTGGGACTTGAACTGTGGTCGACAACATGGGAGTTCAGTGACATAGCCATTATGCTAACTGCTGGTCCTGTATCTATGTTTTATCTACCTATTCTATGAAAGGAAAGTCCAACTTCTACTCTGACCTTCAAGTACTCAGACACTCACAACTCCAGCGAGTTCATTCTAGGTATCCTTAGAGATATTCCTGTACATACATAAACTTTTACGTTTACAAACATGCATGCTATTTTCTGAAAACCCCCAAGTGGCACACTGGAAAACACTGCTCTCCACATGGCTCTTAGTCTTGTATCTCAGAGACAGTTCTATGTCAGGGTGTTCTTTTTTTTTTTAATAATTTATTTAATTCCACTTGTTACTATTATGTTTTTAACTTGACCAGAGAAAGACAGACAGAGAGGAGAAAGCAAGAAAACAATTCACCAGGTCTCGGACTCAAACCACAGTTGGCCATGTGAGAGTCCAGCCCCTTAACCACCACACCACCTGCAGCCCCAGGATGTTTTGCTTTTGTTTTTGTTTTTAATTTTGCTATATGGCATGTGCACTCACTGGCAAGAGATAGAGAGGAGAAAGTGAGAAATCACTCCCTGGGGGAATGGTTACACTGTGTCCCCTCTCTTCCATTTTCCTCATGAGAATTTTGGTCATGCATGCTCATACAGAGACCCTGTTTTTCGTCTCCTGGTCCAGGACTCAAACTGTGCAATTGGCCATGTGAGATCCAGTGCCTTAAGCTCCATACCATCTGTTGGCCCTGCTGGGGCATATCTTAATAGCTGTATAGTATGGATGAACCATCTATTTTTTTTTTTTTTTTTAATTTGCTACAGAGCACATGCACTCACCAGAGAGAAAGAAAGAAAATGAGAATGCACCCCCTGGGGGAATGGCCACACTGCAATCCCTTCTCTGTTGCCCTCTTGGGATTTTGGATGCGCACATGTGCCCAGTGTGTTTTTCAAGTCGTGGATCCAGGATTCCAACCAGTCGCCCATGTGATCCAGCCCCTTTGACCATCACATCACTGGCGGCCTCACCATCTTTTACGTACTCACTTGAGGAGGTTTCTGAGCCCAGATGGTGTTTTAGGAAGCTCCACTGAGCACAGGGGTTCCCAGAGAACCAGCGGTGGGAAGACCAGGCAGACAGTGGATACACAAATCCTGGGGCGCGGCAGTGAGGCTGGCCTAGAATTCCAGTGTAAACCGGAACTCTAGAGCGCTGGCGGCTGCAGTGCTGGGCTCCCCCTCTGGACCCCACTCCCCTGGGAGCCGTACCTTGGTGGGTGTGTCAGGAATGGGAAAGGTGGGAGACCCAGGAAAGGTCAGGACACACTTCTTCCCCAGGCAGCGGCCATGCAGCTCGATGTCTTCGTAGGGGTTCTCCTTCGCTGGTGGATCTGTGGTCAAAGGCAACAAGTCAGGAAGGTGAGAATGCCGA